ATCTGGGCGTTGATAGCATCCGGTTGCACAGAATGGCAAAACGATTGGAACCATTTAGAATTTAAATGGCAAAGAATTAAAAGGCAAACTTTTATCCACTAATAAATGGTACATTAGTATGTATCAGAAAAAGTTTATAGAATAGAAAATTATTCACTATGGTTAGCATTGCATACTGCCATTCTTAAGACCAAGACCAAAAATCAAATATAAAAAAATAAATTTTTTCAAGCTGCTCTTAAAAAAATTTCGGTAATTTGGAGACGGATTAGAAAAATTGTATTTTTATTTGAAATATAATTATTAATAATTACATTACAAGATTCAGGCAACTGGAACCAGAGGATATCGACTAGGCCGATTTCCATTTGTTGGAAAAGATCAAGACGCATATCACAAATCGGCTAAAAACCGCTTCATGGGTTATAAATCGCCAATTGATTATAATGAATAATATTTTGAAATAAATGACTAACATTTTCTGAAAAATTAAAAACCTTGAAGATTTGATATTAAAAAACGTGTCATGAACCAAGTAGCCTAATGCATCATTTGCTTTGATCTTTCCCTTGCACGGTGGAGTTTATTTGTTAATTAGTATTAAAAATTTTAAGCTAAATATTAATCATGTGAAGAAAATTACGTAGCTGTTTCTCCCACCTGCTTCCTCCGGTGTGGCTATAGCCCTTTAAAGAAATCCCTCCTTCTTCTTGGACGAGCTGCGTGGTTTATGGACGCCCGCTAATAAGTTTTTTTGTAGGAGTTTTCGTTACTTATTTTATCTTAGCTTGTCAATTATTATACTTAAAAATAATTAAACTATTAAGCAAATAAAATTAACCCCACAGTTTTCCAACAGATCTCAGAGAAAATCTATTTTTATATTAACCTAGGGATTAAGGTATAGGATTTGCCAATAAGAATAATATGATTTCTTAAAAAACTAAAGCACTCTAATTGTTATGAAAATTCAAATGTTTATTTATTTATTATGAAATACAATCGGTACAATTAAATCTTAAATATAACATCATTCAAATCGTCAATTTAGGTGAATGTAATGGTATTTCTAACAGAGTCGAGGTCTTCCTCTTCCTCTGCCTCAACCCGCGTGTAACGCATCATATTTCAAAACTGGAGTATTCGCATCCATACGGACCACATGACCTAGGCATAGCCGCTGGTTCTTGATTCGCTGAACTATATCAATGTCGCCGTACAACTTGTACAGCTCATCGTTCCATCGTCTGCGGTATATTGAAGTAGCACTTGTTGGATTTCAAGGCTAACGTTATTATTGGTGTTAATGCTGGTTCCTAGATAGACGAAAATATCTACGACTTCAAAGTTATGACTGTCAACAGTGACGTGGGAGCCAAGTCGCGAATGCGATGACTGTTTGTTTGATGACATGAGATATTTATTCTTGTCCTCATTCACTGCCAGACCCAATCGCTTCGCTTCTTTAACAAGCCTGGAGAAAGCAGATGGATGATAATGTCAATATCATCGGCGTACGCCATTAGTTGTACACTCTTATAGAAAATTGTACCTTCTCTATTCAGCTCTGCATCTCTTATCACTCTCTCTCGCATCAAATTGAAGAAATCACACGACAAGGAGTCACCCTGTCTGAAATTTCGTTTGGTATCGAACGACTCGGAGAGGTCCTTCCCAATTCTGACTGCGCTTCTAGTGTTGTCTAGCGTTAGCTGACACAGCCGTATAAGTTTTGCGGGGATACCAAATTCAGACATAACGGCATAGAGGCAGGTTCTATTCGTGCTGTCGAAGGCGGCTTTAAAATCGACGAAGAGGTGGTGTGTGTCGATCCTCTTTTCACGGGTCTTTTCCAAGATTTGGCACATATATATCTGGTCAATAGTTGACTTACCAGGTCTGAAGCCACACTGATAAGGTCCAATCAGTTTGTTGACGGTGGGCTTCAGTCTTTCACACAATACGCTCGACAGGACCTTATATTTGATACTAAGAAGGCTTTTTCCACGGTAATTGGCATAGACTGTGGGGTCCCCTTAATTGTGGATTGGGCAGAGCATACTTAAATTCCAATCGTCGGGCATGCTTTCGTTCGACCATATTCTGAAAAGTAGCTGATGCATGCACCTTATCAGCTCTTCACCACGATCTTTGAATAGTTATGCTGGTAGGCCGTCAGCTTTGTTTGTTTTTTAATGCTGGCGATTGCTATTCAAACTTCTTCATGGTCAGGTAATGGAACGTCTTTTTCATCGTCATCGATTGGGGTTTCGTGTTCACCATCTGCGGATTCATTTTCACTGCTATTCAGCAGACTGGAGAAGTGTTCCATAAATTCAATATACTCTGGGCATCGGTGGCTAGATCACCTCTTTGTGTCCTACAAGAGTTGTCTGATTTATGGATATATTGAACTTAAACACACATATGTAAAATTTAATGATAAATGTTATTCTTTTAAGATTTAGGTCTGGGTAGTTAAAAATGTGAGTGCATGAACACTCAACATTTTGTACCGTGTTATTATTAATATAAAAAGATTTTTTTGACTTTTGCTTTATTTTGTGTGCTACCGAATTCTTTTATTAAAAAAAAATAAATTTTAAACTATCTTAAACTAAAAACTCATATCATAAAAAATATAAAATATTTCATTGTAAACAAAATATAAAGAAAGTAAAAACATTGAAAAAAATGCTATGCATTTTATTTCCTAAATTCTAATGATTGATGATAATGATTACATTTTTTTATGCAAAAATATATTAAACAATTTTTAAAGTGGCAGTATTTTGAAGTTAAAACCAAAATAAGATGTGATGTCAAAAAATCCTTTTTTGTCAATTTTATATTAACAGAAACTCTTTATTTTTGTATCATACACTGTACACTTTTTTACGATTTCAGCCTACAATTTTACATTTGTCAATAGGTAAATTTTATAGTAGTTCTATCTGTTCGATTCCGACAAATAATGTCGCATAAAAACACCATATTTGGTTGAAATATCTCCAAATTTAAGGAACCAGTTTAGGTCGAAACAGACGGAAAGACTATCGGACAGACGATATAAATTTTGCTGGGTCTACTCCTTTTCCTCCTTATTAACATGAAAAGCATAAAAAAGAGTGCATCGGTAAATTTTACTAAAAAATTAAATAATTTTTCTGCCCGTTTTTATAAAGTTTTGCAAAGAAAAATTGTTCTACTTTATTGTCTAAATTTATGCCCTCAAAAAAGTGTTTTCAAGTTAAGTACAATGAGATAGTAACCCGTATAAGATAAAAAATGAGATGATGTGTGAGAAATTCTAATTTAAAAAATCATATGCCCCAATTCTTTAAACAATTTTAAACAAAGTGTCTAAATTTATTTAATATCATCAATTATATAGAAATGAGAGCAACAATTAGACAATACGTGTGTTGTAAGCACTTTTTCCTATTGCAGAAGGTTTCACAACCAAAGCATACCCAAATAGGTGATTAACGCAGGTTATACCGAATTTACACTTATCCAGCATGCTCTAGGGTAGTGAGAATGAAACATAAAGAATGGTGAATCCAAATCTCCACGTAGTGAAGATAGAAAGGACATTCCGATACTCAGCTATGACGAAGTTCTAATAGCTATTTAAAAACACACTTCATTTGCTCTTCTTCTTTTATGCATACACTGGTGATACAAAAATTTAACGATAGTATTACTTCGAATTCTTTTACTCTAAATGTGTCCGCCGACAGAAATATGATGTTACCACAAAAAACGAAGTAATTTAAAGCAAATTTTTCTTCAAAAATATTAAACATCTGACATAAAAAGATTTGTTGACTTTTGCTTTATTTATTTTAAATTATCATCGGCGCAGATAACTACATATGTTTATATAGTATGATATACAAACTTACATTCGATGTAATTTTCATATTTTCTTAGGTTAATTTACGATCATTTCATTTTCCCTCGTACTTTATCGTATACTTCAATTTAAGCAACGACTGTGCTTTACGATGATGTTGTTAATGCTCTATTACCTAATTGCCACCAATGCTGTTGATACCTAAGCTGGCCTAACTGTAAATTATTATATTATCTTCTAAATTTACTCATTCGTTTAGATATTTAGGCATTAAGCATTAATATTGAAAGGTTGGATTCATTTTCTTTTACAAGCAGGATTGGTAGCTCAGCATTAATTAGACAACAGTAGGCATTCGTGGCTCTGTTCGCTGTTGTTATTAAGAAAGGTTTATACCCAATTTAACGAAAAAGTAAAGTAAACCTATGCGTACTCACTCAAAGGCTTTGCAAATATTATAATATGATATGTATATAATAATTTTTATCTGGCAATATCTTGAAGCAAAAAGGAAAATAAGATATTAAATAAAAAAATCTTTTTCGTACGTTAGGGGTGTTGCCTAAACAAATTTTTTAAGGTAAGATAATTACCACCTGGGGCAGCCTTCTTTCATATTTGAACTGAGAGGAGAGTTGGCGGAGTGTCTTCTCAGGGAACCCTCCTACGGAAGTCTTTTTCGGGCTAACTGACCATTGCAGTACTTTTCAGGCTTCAACATATTTATCATAGAGGCTAAGGGCTTCCTATAGTGGGAGACTCCAACTCATTAGATTATCGAAATGGATGGTAATTCAAGCCTAATGGCATTACAATGGGTCTGAGTTAGGCCTGAATATAATCTATACGATAGATCCGTAGCCGACAGAACTTAACCTAACACACCTTAAAAAAAGATATTTAGATACAAGTACAAATATTGATATTAAAGTTATAGTAAGTGCAATCATTTGACTGTTTAATTTCATTCGGGTGTCGACAAAATCATAACCAAATTAAAAAGTACTTCACTTCCGGACAGTTAGAATGACTTAGCATTGAACATTTCGACCATAGTCATGTAATGTATTCTTTTTTAAATTTAATAAATAAAAAGAAATTTTCCTAAAATAATTAACAACTTCTCTTAATCATTTTTTAGCCTAGTCCAAAATATTTGGCTGTGCCTGTAACTCTAAGGATAGTATTCATACCGTTATTTTTATATTGCAACTATCACCCTCTAAATGTGACAAGAACGCTACCAATCTTAATAACGAATGATTGGGTGTACTGGATCATTGCTGCTGTGATGTCATGGAGTTCTGGTTACCTAAGGTGAGCTCAAATAAAACTTAAATTTTTTAACTAAAATAGAAATTAACCTCCCAAAAAACGAAAGGGAAGATATTAAGAACTTGTTTAACCTTAACAACTAAGATCTCTTACTCATTTTGTCGTTAATTGGAAAATCTAAATGAATCCATGTCTCCACCAATGGATACCGCGTCAAGCACTTTCATAACTGGAGACGTTTTATTATCAGCGATATTCACTGTTGTCAATTCGTAAAGGAAAAAAATCTGTAGAACCCGTTCGCTTCGCAACATGAAGACAAACGTTTTCATAGCGAACGATATCAATATCATCGGCATACCTCAGCAATTGTACGCTCTTGTAAAAGCATTAGGTTGAAATCTTGTTATATACTTTGTAACTACACCTTTCATCGAACAGGTAGGAGTGGTAATGGCAGCGTCTTTTCCCAGACTTAACACATGACCAAACAATTTTAAAAATATTTAATAGAATCGGTCCACCTTGTTAAAAATTATGACTACTCATACATTGAAATCAGTGACTCATGCCCCTATCTATCCCTTGATGGTTAGAATTTTCACTTGAATGCTTGTCAACCTCCGGCTATACCTTTACCAATAAATTACTAAGATCAGACTACTCTATAAAAAGTCTTGCATTGTCATCCATACACAAATTTACGTGTTTAGTTGTGAACCTTTTTACGTTGTTTAAAACGTTTTGATTACCAAATCAGACTTCGTGGTAACTAGATGTGTGTGGCCGCCTGCTTCCGTTATACCTTGTCATCCTCTCCTTTTGCTACCATTACAATTGAATATCCTATCCAATTATCAAAATCGATATCGGTAGTAAAAAGCCATAAGTTATAATCGGCGGGAGATATTCATAACTTAGCTGGAGTCAGCTCTAAATAAGTATCCTTTATTGTAATCAGGATATTAACGCTGAGACCAACATTCATCAAGTTATGGTAGAGATATTACCCTATTGTGCCAAAAAATGGCAGAAAATTACCTCGAATGGATCGTAGTTTGCAAAAACTCGCGAGGCGATCTTTTGAATAATGTAAATTGTTCATATATAATAAAAAGATTTTGTAAAAAAAATATTTTAAAAGCGTTTTATTTCCGTTTGCTTTCGAAATCGCCAAAATGGAAAACCCTGTATACCAGTAGCCTCATTATTATTACAAATTTTCTGAGGATAGTATAATGATAAGGAAGGATGATATCATGTTATATAAAAGAAAATAGCTTATTTCGTGAGGGCAGAGCACGTAAATATATTGAAAATTATTTAGGTACCGTACTCTTAACGCGCGGATCTATCTTTTCTGTGATAATTACAAATCAAAATTAAAAATTCGCCTCAGAAACAATTAGTCTCCACAGTTAAAAATTTGCATATCCGTTATTTGTAAGCTGCCAAAAAAAAGCAAAGGTGCAGAAAAAATTGTTAGTAATATTGTTAATATTTTAATACTTGTATTTTTTTTTTTACATTTTTCAGCTCATTGGCAATGATGTACGCACCACAATCAGTTGAGCCGAAATATCAAGTGAAAGCTGGAATGTTTGCAGCTGCGATGCTTATAACCGGAATTTTCGCTGGAATTGTTTTTTCTTTTTTAAACCCTTCTTTCGTTGGATATTAAATATATGCAAATATAAAATGATTGTTAAGCTTATAATAGCCATACACCTAGCAAGGATTTAAAAAGTGCAAAACCAACGTCTGAATAATGTTAATTACTCAAATGTAAAGCAATATTGAATTTCTTATAATAATTCTTAATCAAATACACAAATTTTTTACAAATAATACTATCAGGGATCGAAAATAGTAATTATTTTTGGTTTTTCAATGAAAAAAATCAAAGGCTCCAAAGACGTAACCCATAAAAGATGTCTGTTATATGTAAAGGCACAGTTCCAGTGGTTTTTTACGATTCTGAAGTGATATCGATTAACCTTAAATTTTAATGTCAACTTATCCTTCAGAAAATAATTATTAACTATTAAGTTAAATTTTTTGATCCGAAAGATTTTTTCGATTTATATATTTGCGCTCAAAAGTAATGATTATATCTGAGCTATAAATTTGTCTTATCAGAAATAAATATTATCTTGATCACAAGGAATCGCGTGATTACCACATACGTGGTAAATTTGTGGACGGGAAAATACATCAAGATATGATATGATATATTATCTATGGATATAACACAATTCTTTCTTCACTCATTACATTTCTGACATATGTAGATAAAGCTGGGATCATGAAAATAGATGTGGTGCTGAAGTGTTATTATCATATTATTATAGATTACACACGGAATCGGTTTTGTTTTTATACAATAAATACGAGTATGGGAGTTTCATTAAGGTATTTTTTTTAATATGAAATGCTTTATTTATTTCTAAGATAATATTTCATTAAAATCTATTATTGCCTTGAATCTGTTACACAATTTTTACGCACATAGATTTGTAACTTTTAACTTTGCTGAATCGAACAGTTAATGTAGACCTCAGTCTATTCTAGTAATAATAAAACGCAAATCTTTGTTCTTCAACCTTCACATTTCCATTGCAAATTTTCTTCCGATCCATATTATTACGGTTGAATATGGTATTTTGTAATAAATATCTAAACACTAGGATAATTGAAAAAAAATTTATTAACAAATATATACCTACGAAGAAATTAATAGTATTGTTCACAAGCTAGTATATCTCTCCTCAATTTTACTTACTTACTTTACTGGCGTAGACGCCGCTTACGCAATTGTGGCCGATTTAACAACATTACGCCATTCGTTCCTTTTTTGCGCTGTTGACGGCAATTCGAAATACCAAGTACAGCCAGGTCCTTCTCTACCTGGTTTTTCCAACGGGTGGAGGTCTTCGTCTTCCTCTGCTTCCACCGGCGGGTACTGCATGGAAATATTTCAAAACTGGAGTATTCGCATCCATACGGAACACATGACCTAGCCAGCGTAGCCGCTGGTTCTTGACTCGCTGAACTAAATCAATGTCGCCGTACAACTTGTACAGCTCATCGTTCCATCGTCTGCGGTATTCGCCGTTGCCAGCGCACAAAGGACCATAAATCTTACGCAAAATATTTCTCTCGAAAACCGTCTCATCAGATATTGAAGTAGCAGTTGTTGGCAAGAGTGCTTCTGCGCTGGATTTCAAGGCTAACGTTATTATTGGTGTTAATGCTGGTTCCTAGATAGACGAAAATATCTACGACTTCAAAGTTATGACTGTCAACAGTGACGTGGGAGCCAAGTCGCGAATTCGATGACTGTTTGTTTGATGACATGAGATATTTCGTCTTGTCCTCATTCACTGCCAGACCCAATCGGCAATTCGAAATACCAAGTACAGCCAGGTCCTTCTCTACCTGGTTTTTCCAACGGGTGGAGGTCTTCGTCTTCCTCTGCTTCCACCGGCGGGTACTGCATGGAAATATTTCAAAACTGGAGTATTCGCATCCATACGGAACACATGACCTAGCCAGCGTAGNTATTCCGTTCGATGGCACACGGCCTGGCAGATCAACATTTTCAATCCTTCGAAGAATTGGAAAAATGGATTGCTTCATTGATAGCGTCAAAAGAGGACTCCTTTTTTCGAGCCGGGATCCGAAAATAGTCGGAAAGATGGGAGAAAGTTGTCGCTAGCGGAGGACAATACTTTAAATAATATATGTGTAAGCACTGTTTCGCAATAAACCTTTTAATTTTGGAAAAAAAAACGGCGGAAGCAAAGTTGTACACCTGATAAGCTAAATTTTCGAATAGCGGTCGCCCCTCGGCAGGGAGTGTCCATCTCTCCAAGTGTATTTCGGACATGAAATGAAAATGTAGGTCCCTCCATTTGCTAGAAAAACATGTAATAAGTGGTAACTGTTTTTTTTTTAAGTTTTAGCACTATTTAAATTCTTAAAGGTTCTAACCGCCTGTTGATTCTTCTATCAATCAGTCAGCCGTAAGTCGCTGTGTCCATCGCGCAACAGACGCAATAACCGTTCGATGATTTTACGAATAATAGATTTCTCATAACTACAATAGAGCAACATAATCGTCACCATTTGTCGAGAAACCATTTTTACGTGAACTGTGAGACCCCGAAGTCATGAAGAACCATATAGCAATCACCTAGGGTGCCACTCTATCAATAAGCAAATAGAGTAAAAATTTTTCTATTGGTATTATAGCAACATAAGCCATTGTATTTGTAAAAATAAATATGTGATTCATAACCCCAATTTGGAGGTAAATGTTAAGTATCCAGGAGCGTGACACCATTCTTTTATTTGGAGCTCTGCTGTTCGAAGAATCATGCAGCGTAGTTTTGAAACTATAATATATTTTTTATTGGTAAACTAGAAATCCATTACAATCAGCAAACCACTTTTGTGTACGAATGTGTTTTTTGATCCTCCGTAAGTACACTTAAAGTTAAAAAAGTTAAAAAAAAAATTATTAAATCGTTGAAATTTATACATCTGTTGTAGTGGATGCATAGCCACTTAAGTTGGCATTAAACAACATAAAAAAGTAATAAAAAAAAAACATTTGTGAACATAAACAATTAACAGAAAGCTAAAATCAGAATGAAAAGTGAACCGACATTCAGTCGCGACAGCAGAGTGAAATGCACATTTCACTGTTGCGAAAAATTCACCACCCAACAGCAATGCAAAGGCAAGCAGTTCATCTCTAAAGACAACACCGCAGACCTGCTCTTCAGACGCAGCAAATAATAAAAAGAGTGCAAAATCTCTTTTCACTGTATATCCAACAGGTCAGGTAGCCAAAATGAAAAATGGTCGGCAGTGCGTACGGACAATGATCGCTAAATGTGATATACAAAAAGAGGAAATTTAGTCCTTCCAAAAAAGTGCTAAGAAGCATAATGCCGTTGGCTCCAATATCGATGCTGATACTTATGCACAAAAAATAACAGATTTGCCCCTTTAACACACACACACAATCGCTAATACTAAATCTCCACCAATCTACTTGAGGGAGCGCACCTCTAATTTACTCGTTGTTAGCATAGCCAAGATAAAAGGTACCAACAATTTTTACATTGTACCTCTTAAAAAAGAAAATAGACAAAAATACAAGTATACAATGAAACGATTTTCGTGAAGTCATTTTGTGTCTTTCTTCAAACAACAAGAGTTACTACTCTTACCAGTTGAAGAGTGCGAAAGGGCTGATTGTTGTAATTAAGGGATTTGAAGCCACTGTGTGATATCAAATTCGCTTTGCTTCTTTATCAAGCCTGGAGAAAGCAGAACTAAAGGTGCGGTTGTTGAGGATGATAATGTCATTATCATCGGCGTACGCCATTAGTTGTACACTCTTATAGAAAATTGTACCTTCTCTATTCAGCTCTGCATCTCTTATCACTCTCTCTCGCATCAAATTGAAGAAATCACACGACAAGGAGTCACCCTGTCTGAAATTTCGTTTGGTATCGAACGACTCGGAGAGATCCTTCCCAATTCTGACTGCGCTTCTAGTGTTGTCTAGCGTTAGCTGACACAGCCGTATAAGTTTTGCGGGGATACCAAATTCAGACATAACGTCATAGAGGCAGGTTCTATTCGTGCTGTCGAAGGCGGCTTTAAAATCGACGAAGAGGTGGTGTGTGTCGATCCTCTTTTCACGGGTCTTTTCCAAGTTTTGGCACATGGTGAATATCTGGTCAATGGTTGACTTACAAGGTCTGAAGCCACACTGATAAGGTCCAACCAGTTTGTTGACGGTGGGCTTCAGTCTTTCACACAATACGCTCGACAGGACCTTATATTTGATACTAAGAAGGCTTTTTCCGCGGTAATTGGCATAGACTGTGGGGTCCCCTTTATTGTGGATTGGGCAGAGCATAATACTTAAATTCCAATCGTCGGGCATGCATTCGTCCGATCATATTCTGCAAAGTAGCTGATGCATGCTCCTTATCAGCTCTTCACCGCCATCTCTGAATAGTTCTACCGGTAGGCCGTCAGCTCCCGCCGACTTGTTGTTTTTCAAGTGTGCGATTGCTATTCGAATTTCTCTATGGTCAAGTAATGGAACGTCTTTTCCATCGTCAACGATTAAGGTTTCGGGTTCATTATCTCGGGATTCTCCATTTTTACTACTATTCAGCAAGTTGGAGAAGTGTTCCAGTGTTAAATTCAACATACTCTGTGCAACGGTGGCTGGATCACCTCTTTCTGTCCTACAAGAGTCTGCTCCGGTCTTGAAACATTCTGTAAGTCGTCTTATCTTCTCGTAGAATTTTTGAGAATTACCCTTGTCGTCAAACTCTTCATACTCACGCATGTCGGCCTCTTTCTATTTTTGTCTGCAGATGCGTCTTGCGTCCCTCTTTATCTCTCGGTATCTATCCCATCCCGCCCGTGCTGTGATCGATTGCAAGGTTGCGAGATAGGCAGTCTGTTTTCTCTCCACTGCGACACGGCAGTCCTCATCGTACCAGCTGTTTTTGTGACCTTTACGAAATCTAATAGTTTCCTTTGCTGCTGTACGTAGGGAGCTTGAAATGCCGTTCCACAGCAAGAGTGTAGGTCGAGTAGAAAATCGTTCGGCAGTTGTGATTGCAGCTTTTCAATGTCACACTTTCCTTGTGTTTGTTGACGTGCGTTCTTCGATACACAGAGGCGCATGCGTATCTTTGCTGCAACAAGATAATGGTCCGAGTCGATGTTGGGTCCTCGGAGTGTACGTACGTCTAGAACGTTGGAGATATGCCTTCCGCCTATCACAACATGATCGATCTGGTCTTGTGTTTTTTCGATCAGGGGACAACCAAGTAGCTTGATGCATTTCTTTGTACTACAGATAACCATATTTCGGGCCCCGGAGAAGTCGATCAGCCTTAACCCATTAGGGGATGTTTCGTTATGAAGGCTGAATCGTCCAACAGTTGTACCAAAGATACCTTCTTTGCCCACCCTAGCATTAAAGTCGACAAGCACGATTTTCACGCCGTGTCGGGGACAGCGCTCGTAAGTATGCTCTAGGCGCTCATAAAAGGCATCTTTGGCCAAATCGTCTCTATCTTCCGTCTGGGCGTGGGCTCAAATCAGCGATATGTTGAAAAATTTCGCTTTGATGCGGATTGTGGCGAGACGCTCATCCACCGGGGTGAATGTCAGAACACTTCGACGGAGTCTTTCTCCCATCACAAATCCAATACCAAATTTGCGCCCCTTTATATGGCCGATGTAGTCACAAGAACTTACTCGCTTTCGTCCTTGTCCCGTCCATCGCACTACTTGGATGGCGGTGATGTCAGCCTTTATTATTACGAGGACATCAACCAGCTGGGCAGCGGCACCTTCCCAATTAAGGGACCGGAAATTCCAGGTACATGCCCTCAAATCGTGTTCCTTAATTCGTTTGCGGGGGTCGTCAACAGAAAGGGGGTATCTCATCCGAGGCGTTGTTATATTTTTCATTGTGGCTGGTTTCTACGTGGCGGGTCCCGAACCCAGCGCACAGCCTCGCTAGGCGAGTAAGTTTAAAGTTTTTTTTTTACACATTTATATAGCGAGCCGCTTGTTTCAAGTCCAACGCCCGCTCGTAGCCGCACCTCTGGTGAACAGACGCTGCAATTTAGCGTTGATTTTATATCATTTTGAACGAATAACTAATATAATGACTTTTATTATCATACATATGTATGTATACATTTATATTTGCATAGATTCGATGTGAAGTCATGAATTAAATAAAATATCTGCAAAAGCTTTTTTGTAAGTTTTTTTTTTGCGTGAACATATGCAGATATAGAGATCAAAATTTACGACTTTCAAAAGGGTCTGGAAAAAATTGTAAGGACGATAAACTAGTGTATGAAGAAGAGAGGATTGCCGATACTCGGAACTTGCATGTGATGGCACAAATATAAGACTAATCTCACTCGCACTGCAGTTAAAACTAAGCTTATGGTTATTATAGCGATGGGCTGAAACAGACGATAATCGTAACCGGATGTGAATAATTTTTGCTTATCTACATAAAAAATGTAATAAGGCAAGAAAGAATTTTATTGATAAAATTTATTGTAAAGTACCTATGATGTTATGAGCGTTTTGTAAAAAAAAGAATTTTCATTTTTGAATACAGCTCAAAAAATAATTATTAGTTTTGAAGCAAATCTTAGACTTGAAATTGCTATGAATATTTTTAATGGAAAAAAATAAAACTCAAAATTTTGATTTTTGCTCAAAAAACCTTAAGATCAGGGTAATGATTATTTATGATTAGATAATTTAAAGCTCAGATATAATCATTAGTTTTGAGCGAAAATAAAAAAAAATAATTCTGTTATGAAGTGTAAAATATTTTGAACGATATGGTAAATTTGAAAAATTAACAGATATTGATGATTGAAATGTTTTTATTCGTTGAATAATAAAATAATAAACTCATAATGATTACCATCTCTGGATACTACGTAATATATCGCAAAAAGTTTTAAAAGTTGTTCAACTAAATTTTATAGCGTGCAACATTATATTTATATAAAGTTGATATGTTCATTATTGTTAAGAAAGACTTTGAAAAAGATTATTAATATTAGTTTTAAATGTTTTGTAAATGATTGTTTTGAACTGAATCTTCTTAATAAAATTCAGATATTAATTTTAAAATTTCTTAAAAAATTACATGTAAAAAAATGGAAGGGCATTCCACTAAGCGGAGCGAACTCGTACAAGGATTTAACATTGCTTCGGCTGTACCGAAATCTCTATGACTTTAATTAACAAATACTTTATTAATATTTGCTTAATCATTCTTTAAATTTATTTGTTATGACGTTAAATTAACTGTCTGAACAATTAGTTCTCCGAATCGCGATAACTATCTTATAGTTACGTTATCAATAAGTTTCGAAAAACCAGTAAAAAATATTCAGCAAGTATATCATCTTATACCCCTGAAAAAAAATTTACATAGTTCGCCATAACAGAACAGAAGCGGTATAACAGAAGTATGTTTTGGTATTTGAATTTTTTACGGTTTATTGGTTTTTTTTTTGCTAAAAATTTAAATCATATTCAGCAGCTGTGATAATTCTGCTTACGTGATGACCATAAATCACGTAAATTTATGTAAAAATTGCTTTGCAACAATCGTGGCTTAGATTTTCAAAAAAGATCATGCAAATGTGCTCCTGATGTTAAAAAAATTATATTTAGGAAAACATTTTGTAATATTTTATAAAATACCTTTGAGGTTTCAAATTAGACAGGCGCCACATTATTTTATGGAACCTGAAAGTTTGTCTCTGCATCCAGTCAAGATATATAGGTAAGAAGATAACCTATCTAAATATATTATAAAGGTAAGGTTTTTGTATATTGTGTTTAGAATTACATTCAAAATGACTTCACTCATTGTGGGAAACTTTTGGTGGTTTCAACCACCAGCAGGACAGACATAAACTCAAAAATCGTACGTATAAACTTTCGACATAGTAGAATAGATAAGAACGATGAAGACTAAGAATTTTGGGTAGTGAGTACTGCAGCAGATAACAGGGGTCAAGAATGCGAAAAAAAACGCCTCAAAAACAATAAATTACAAAACTCCTAGTTTTAATATTTTTCTCCGAATTATTACTTATTATTATTTTGTCTATTTTATTTGCAGCTCTTATTATATTCTCCAGCATCAAAATACTGTACTTTTTTTAACGATTCGTAGCAGCAATTTTATCGGCCGCAATAGCCGAGAGGTTAACATTCCGTACTGACATACGGAAGGCTCGGGCTCATATCCCGGTGCCACCAACATCCAAAAGTTTTGGGAAATAAATTTAAATAAAAAAATATCAGGTGTACAACTTTACTTCCGCCGTTTTCCGTTGGGTGGCTGTACCGGCTGAGGCTGGTTGAAATACATAGATGATAATGCTTTTAAAGTGAGTGTGGACAGTGCCTTACGAATTGTCATCGCCGTTTCAGTGACAGTTGATCTTGTTTTCGTACTATTCAAGCTCGAAAGTGTCCCTTTATGTGCCCAATTCTCGCCATTTGCGGGAAGTTTTACTTTTCTGTTACAATTAAAAAAAANGAGAAGCCGATAACTAATACATTCTAAACGAGAACCTTCGATAGCGAACAACTCGATAATTCTACACTTTCGTCTGCGAGCAGCCGACTGCAATATAAGGGCGACACTCAGCTGCCAAGTCAAGTTAGTTACAAAGTGAACTCGTTGGCGTTAACATCAGTAAAGTCGTAGAGTAAACGCGTTGGAGATTATATTTAAGTAAAGTAAATTGTGAAAGTTGATGATAGTGATTGTAAATAATAAAGTATATTGTAATTGAATTGTGAATTACGGAGTAAATAAAGGACATTAGATAAAATCTTTATAACGAAAGATACTGCAAATTGAATTGGCGAGTTTTTATTTAACAATCCAGAGATCGTACCCGAAGGATTAAGAAAATAATCGAGGTTTATTCAGCAAAATCGTAACAATATATAAGAAGTAGATTACTTTACACAGACTTAGTGCACTTTTTTTGGAAATAGTGAAGCGAACGAAAACTTACGAGTACAAAATAAAGCGAAATAGGAAAATAATGAAGGAGAACCAAATGTCAAAAAAATTGCTTAAACAAAGTGTCTGTGCCATTGAGAAGGTCTAAAAAAAAGAATATTATTGTAATAAGCGACAAAAGTGTCCTCAAGTAAACTCAGACTATGTAAACTGAGACATATGAATTTTTACAGCTCGTCGTCCGTAGCCCGTGGCGTACGATCTGTGTTATCTGAATATGTTGATTTAGTAGTGTAGTTATAACGTTAGTCTCCTAACTAAGATTATTTTCTGTATTTGCTTAAGTTTGTTTTAAATGAATACATATGGCACGGACTTTGACTTCGCTGGGTGTTGCGAGGAATTACAATGTGAACTTACTGAGGCAAAGGGCAGTTTGGATATAATTAATGACAGCCTTAAGAAATTTGTTGGTCGGCCAAGAGATATTGGGTAAAAATTAAATGGGTATTGTGTATATACATATATATATATATATATTTTTGTTTTATAGAGCTGGAAAATCTCTTAGTACCGACGACTTAAAGGCTGGTTGTCAAAAATACCTGAATGAAGGAAAGCAGAAAAGATCTTATGAAGGGAAGTCAGTGTTTAGACGCTTGTCAATTCCAAACGAAAGAAATAAACCTACAATAAGTTCACGAATTATAAGGGAACTGCCGTCGCGGGAGCAAGTATTGGAAGCACAGTGTTCTGATTCAGAATCGAGAGCAAGAAATCGACGAATGTTTGGCTCCCTGCTTGGAACTCTGCATAAATTTTGTCAAGAAGAATCGCGCTTAAAAATAAAGGAAGAAAAAAGGGCACTTATTGAAAAGAAGTTAGAAGATCAACAACTTCTTGAACGGGAGACATTAAGAAAAGAACGTGACCTACTCTTGATGGACCGACAAATAAAACATTCTAAAATAAAATCATTAGAATGGAAGTTAAACCGCATGAAGGATTTTGCTGTATTAGAAAAATCAGTTACAAATTCTAAAAATTGTATTAGAACGAAAACGAAACCTTTCATTTATTTTTGCCCTAGTCAGCTCTCCAAGAAAACTGAAAAACTTTTAAGTTGTACTAGAGACACTTTACATGCAGAAATAAAAAAACGAAGATTGGCGCTAAATTTGGAATTGAAAGAACTTGAACTTGACAGTGAACCTGATACGTTTCCGAAAGATGATTTCAAAACAAATGATTTTCGTTCAGAGTCTTGCAACTTTACGTCAGTTAAGTCACATGTAATTCAAGGTAAGCTCTAATTCCGAACATACATATGATTACTCAATGTCTGACCAGAATTTTTTAAATGCAAAGTGTGTTAATAAAATATGTGCTAGACTTTCTTGAAGCCTTGATTTTTATATAATAAAACGAATTCGGTATTATTTATTTATTTGTAGCCAGAAATCATTTAACTCATAACAGGTTAATGACGTATTCCATTCATTTAAATTGTCATTCCCTGTATATATGTAAGTACCTAAGCCAACCCAAGGCGAGTTGAGATATAATAAAATTGGTAGCTCAGTGGTTATATGGTACCAACCGCTCTATTTAAAAATGTCAATATTGTGTTTCCAAGTTTCGATTTGCAAACTAAATATTTTTTCAAGGGTTTTGTTTTTCAAAAAATTGCTTTTATCCTATCCTCTAAAATATGTTAAATGTACGTATATGCCTTAGGGGCACTCGATTTTAACTACAAATAAGCAATTGACAATGGATTTGTTAAAAAAGGAGCACATAGCTTTTAGAGGACTATTAGAAACAATATATTGGTATTTTTATCGTTGGATGGGTATAAAGCTTACAGAATTCCATATCACGAAACCGCATCATTACAAAGTATGTTGACATAGAGGTTATTCTTGGTAGAAGCGAGTCAATCTTCTCCATTAAATAAACAAATTTAAAATGCAATTAACAATGAAAAACTTAATTAATCGACAATATATTATTACCAAAGCTTGTTCAGGACCCTCATAATACATATTTTTTTCACTTCAATCTGCTTCGGAGAAAACGATAAAAATGGCGATCTACTCAAAAATAAAAAAATATAAAATAAAACGGATAATCTGTTCAACTGCTGATTCAAAAGTGGGTATGTTTCGTGCTTTAAGAGGAGATGACGTATGGCTTGAGTAGTTGACAGTGGTGAAGTAAAAAAAAAAATTGAAGACTAGATTGTTTACATATGTGATAGGCCTGTGCATCATAGTTTTGCTTGTTGCACCCCAAATATCGCTCTTAAAAGTAAGAGTGTAGCCAAAAACCAAAATGAGTGTATTCCTCGAAGTTTTCAGGAGCTGGGACTTTTTGTAGTACTATGACCGTGTTTTTACGGGTTAAACTTTAGCTTTTTAACATTCAAAATCCAGAATTCGTCAAGTTACGTTCAATATGTGCCAAAAAGTGGTCGAAAATTACCTCGAAGTGCAGAAATTCGGGAAGCAGTCATGATGTGGTGTCTCGCATATGTATGTACAGTTGTTGTTGTTGTTGATTTAGCGGTTCGCTATCCCCGCTTAGGTACAGGTTTGATCAATCTAAGTTGACGAGGTCATCTAATGGTAGGTCCAGGAAAAGAGCTATTTCGGCGGGGTTGGACCAAAGGGAGAGGGGGGTTAGATGAGTTGGTTTGAGAGGGCATGTGAAGAGGTGGTTAGTGTCGTGCGGAGACTCTCCACATGCAGGGCATACGTTGGGTAAGGTGTTGACTGACTCTTGGTGAATGGCGTTCAGTGCTTGTCGGTACGCCGTCCTGTCCAGCGGTTGTTGTACATGTTGCTAGATTGTGTCCTTTAAGTCCAGTCCTCCCTCTCTGATGTGGCTAGGTGGAGGTTCAGCTTCTACTAGGTGCCTACTGGGGTGCTCTCTGCGGTAGCATCCCAATAGGAACTGCTTGCACAGCAAAGCATTATGCTCCTTAACTCGTAGCATAGATGCTTCCCTGTGCAAGTGATGCTCCGGCGACATCAGGAGGTTTCCTGTCGCGTCTTGAGGGCGGTGTTCTGGCAAGCCTGTAGCTTCTTCATCTGCGTCTCGTTCGTCCCCAGCACCCAGATCGGTGCAGCATAGTTTATGACCGGCCGACCAATTATAAGTAGCCAAAAGTTCTTTGCGTTCACCCCAGGTGCGTGCTGCCGTCTAGCGCTTTGAGTATTTTGTTGCGGCTCTGGAGTTTCGCGGCAATTGCAGTCATATGCGGAGTGAAGGAGTGCAGGCTGTCTAGGGTTACTCCAAATATTTTTGGGGTATTTACCGTCGGATTTTTTGTGTCATCGACCTTCACATCTAGTTCAAGCCTGTATTCCTTCGTCCAGCTGGTGAAGAGGGTAGCCGAGGATTTCGTCGGTTGAATTCTTAGCTGTCTTGCAATGAAGAAGTGGGAAAGATCAGCAAGGTATCCGTTCAGTTCCGAACAAAGGTCATTAATATCCTGGCCAGACGCCATTATCGTACAATCATCGGCATAAGAGTTTATGGAAACTCCTGGTGCAGGAGGGAGTTTCGATATATAGAAATTAAAAGGAATCGGGGAGAGGATACCACCCAGCGGAACCCCTTGTTTAATTTTTCTGGGTTTAGAAGTTTTACCTCGGAATATTACCGATGATTGTCGACCACTCATGTAGCCCATCACCCACCTCTGCAATCCCGGCGGAAATGAGGATTCCTCAAGGTCCGTTAGTAGCACTGAGTGATTGACTGTGTCAAAAGCTTTTGACAAGTCCAGTGCTACCAGCACAGCTCGCGCGCAGGGTCTGGGTGTTTATGGCGTTAAGTGCTGTTGTGGTACTGTGCACTTTTCGGAAGCCATGCTGGTGCGATGCTGGATTCAGATGGTGAGTGAACGTCGGGAGCAGTAAGGCCTCAAGTGTTTTCGCTACTGGGAAGAGGAGAGTTATCGGCCGATAGGACTCTCCTTTGTAGGCTGGTTTTCTCGGTTTGAGTAGCGGACCCACACTGCCAATTTCCACACATCCGGTATCTGCTCCCGCTGATCCTAGATGTTTCAGTATCAGCATGCTTATTCCGTCGGGGCCAATGGATTTGGAAGCTTTCAGATTCCCGATGACCCCCTGAACCTCCTCCCAGAGGAAATCAAGCACAGCGCTGGTGTTTGGTAGTTTGCGCATACGGCGGAGCGGATTTCTGCAATTCGGTCTGCTCGGATGAAGCGGGCGGCAGCGGTCGCGACGACCCTGCGGAATAAACGTTTACCAGTGGTAACGTTTGATGGAGTGGGAAGAGCACTAAAGGCGTTTTCAGTAAATTCCGTGAATCTGGGCCATTTAGCTTTTTTAAAGTTAACAAATGTCCGGTGGTCCCCGGAAACAAAGTCGGGAGGCCTGTCCATCGAAATTTATATGGGCAAGTGGTCCGATGTTAACGTCAGTATAGGTCGCCAGACTATACTGTTTAGCAGATCAGCATTCGTAATTGTTATGTCTGGCGAGCTTTGGCAATTACCCATAACTCTGGTGGGAGTGTTGTCGTTCATTGTGCAGAATGTCGAATGGTCTATCTCTTCTGCCAGCTCCATTCCTCTACAGTCATTTGACAGGCTAGAATGCCAAAGATCGTGATGCGCGTTAAGGTCGCCCAAAACCAAACGGTTTACCTATATCAGGGGTGTATCCTGCTGAGCAACTTGTAATAGGAGGAATGTATATATTGAATATTTCGAGCTCGACATCGCTTGACCGGATATCTATGCTCTATGCTCTATGCTTAACTATTTTCACTTCAAATAATTTTTTATGTTAAATTCATACTACTTATAAAGAAAAAAGTACTAATTTTCGTCAAACAAAAGTATTGGCACACCTAAATTTTATTGAACTATTTCGCTTAAATTTGATTGATCTAGCAACTTTGTTTCAAAAGTCCCCTTATGTCTACAATTGCATTTTTTTTTTTCAAAAATCAGACTGCAAAATGCCTTCAATTATAGTGGGCAAGTGGAAAAAAAAGTGAAACTAAGGTATCTCAGCGAAAAATAACTTTATATTTGCATAAACAGTATTAATCATATTCAGAAATTGGCGAAATGATAGACAGAAGCCGGTACACCATAAGAAGCATTGTGAAACGATTTAAGGGGATCAATCTTTACAAAACGCAATATGTACAGGCAGGCCTAAGGCTTTAAATGACCGCAAACGCTGCCAAATAGTAAGAAGGGAAGAGAGAAACCCAAGACTATCTCACAAATCGCAGCGGAAGTTAAGGGAGAGTTGCGTAAAGATATTCATCCGATCATGGTCCGGTCTCGTGCAGCTAGACGCAAACCCCTAATGTCAAAAGTGCGCCAAACAAGCGTTTAGCTTGTGCTAAGGAGTACCTAAGCAAACCAATTGATATTTGGGACAATGTACTCTTTGCGGATGAAAGTAAACTTAATATTTTTCAGTCTGATTTCCGTCAAACTATGTGGAGAAAACTTAACACTGAACTTCAAAAAGAGAACCTTTATGCGACTGTAAAACATGGTGGTGGAAGAGTCATTGCATGGCCGCTGTAGGTGTGGGCGAGCTGGAATTAATTGACGGCATTATAGACATAAAATACTATATACAAATTCTTAAGAGAAGTGTCAAAAAAAGTGAAGAAAAACTCAAATAGCCAGAGTAATTTACATTTCAGGCCGACATTGATCCGAAGCATACCGCTCATGATGTGCGTTTGTGACTTGCACACCACATTAAACATCCACTGCCGCATACTTTCCAATCGCCTGATCTAAACCCAATTGAACATTTGTGGGAAGAGCGGGATAGGCACTTTGAAAAGCGCGCTGTATCAACAAAAAAAGAGTTGAAGCTGGCACAGGTGGAGGAATGGCACAATATTTGGGGCAGTAACCACACAAAAATTGGTCACATCGATGCAAAAGCATTTGGAAGCTGTCATCAAACATAAAGACTTGTGTTTTTGTGAAGTGTGTCAATACTTTCGTTTTTATTTATAATTAGTACTAATTTAAAACAAAAGATAATAAAATAAATTGAAGTGAAAATAGTTGAAAATGTGTCCCTCTGTCTTGCATTTTTTTCGGAATTATAAATATTTTCATAAGTGGTTATTAAAAGGTGCCAATACTTGAGCTCATCACTGTATGTGTAATATCATGATTCAAACTCTTCAAAATTACTGGCGCCTTATCTATGAAAAGATCGTCACTTGTGGACGATGTATTCCGTGCAAGAATTCAAAAACAAAACCCCACAACAGGGCAAAAATATCAATGAATTTTAACGAACTAACTCGGCTCTTAGGAATCAAGCATCTACGTACTACGGCCTGAATACTACCTTTGATACTCCTTGGTTTCCGATAATCTGGGAGGGAAGAACAAAAGCAACACCAACGGAAATGCCCCATGGAGGCACTGTAAAAATTTCCGGTAATTTTTTTCCGATCCCAATTAAATAATGCGCATTTCAAAGGTATACGGTCTAACTTGAAACCATCTGCAATCTTTCTGCGCTGCGATCCTTGACGGAAACACCAATAATTATTTTCTATGATCCATCTTCCATATGCTATCAAAGTGTATTTGAACTCCGAATCAGGGAGAAAGTGGGACACGTATCTTTGACCGTTTAAGGGGACCGTAATTAACACAAGAGAACCCAATCATTCGAGGCAATCTGAACGTGACTACCCTTTCCATTGTGAGTTTTGTGGTGCAGCATAAAGCTAAATATTTATTTATCTCTAAAATATTAACTTTAATTTAAGCAGTTTCGGTAATAAATAATTTGCGTAATAAAAAAGTTTGAAAAACAACTCTGCTATCTAGGAAATAAGCTCTTTATTTCCTGATGTCAATATTGTTTATAATTAATCTCTTCTCTCTTTGACCGTCGTTCATTATGTTAATCGAATGTTTTCTTTTGCGAATAAATACAACACTTTCAAGCAGCTTTCAATCTTTCGTTTTGTCTTTGTAGCAAACATGAATCATATGCTTGCCCTTTATCTACGCTTGGGAGGAAAATAGTCATAGCTCGTCCAAGTCCTACTCGCACTGCCTTTATGGTCTCAGCTTAACTATGACCATGCTCCAGATGGTTTACCTGTTGGGGCAAACTGATGGCTATGTCTCCGGATTACTGTTAGAGTTCGTCTCACTGGTGTTCTTCTATGGTTGCTCGTTCGTGTGCATATTCTTGTCTGGTTTTAGCGGCTTCAAGGCTTTATCTCCTCCCAACGAAACGGGTAAGGTACTTTCGATTCTTAATTAACTTTGCCCGCAACCATGCTGTTTATTTGATGTATCGACAGGGTTTCGCTCTTAATCGTTTTTCTCCTGAGTGGTGATGTCGCTTCTTTCGTACCTCAGTACGTTTGTCCGTGTCATGTTGCTCTCTTCCTTCAGAATTGCTGGCTGGCGGAGATATATCACCATCAACGCTATTTCCAACATTTTCGAAAGTAGAAGCTGTTTGTGCGTTTCAGATTCAACCGACGGATGTACATATGTTCCTACGAATAACTTTGAAGTTTCTTTGATGTTCAGTTTATGAGTTAAAAATTCAGTGTTGTTGCTTTCAAAATGTTTGACTACATTAGAGAAATTTTCGGGAGTTTTTGGTTTCTTCATTCATAGTTTCCTTTTTTGGAATCACTTCTGGGTTTTTCAAAAAATGATTTACAATTTGTGTTTTTAACTCCCCCGTGAGTAAATGGTAAACTGTCCTTTGGGACGAGTCTAAAATTATTATAATGGGAAATGACGTCCTATCAGTAAGGGAATGCCAAAATACCGTCAAAGATAGTGACTATATTACATACGGTCTGTTGATTCTGGCATGCATACTAATTTATCATAGAAACGGAATGCTCTCGTATTTCGAACGGGAACTGCCTTTGGCCTTGGGGTGTTTCAAAAGGGCAATTACTCAAAAGATGTGACAATAGTTTTGGAATTTTATACTTAATTAAGTTGATAAATAGATCCTTCTAATTTAGAGACCTTAATCTTTTCAAACAACGCCTGGAGATAGTGAACAAAATAATTTTTATATTGTTATTGCACTTGGCATGTTTCCATACTTTGTCAATATTAAGTAAAGTGTTAAAAAATATTAAAGTAAAATAAAAATTTTGTAAGTGAAAATATTCAATTGAAACAATTACACCTCCTGCAAGAAGATGCCGAAGTAACTAAGCTTTTTTCTACATACCAAAGAACGTATATGAATGTTTGCTTTTTTCGGCGATGATGACAAATTGCAAATTATGAAGGGGTAGAAATGTAGTTACTTTAAGCTAATATTTTATTAATTTTTTTTTTTAATTTTTTCTCAATTCAATCAAATTTTTAAAAAATGATTTAATGTGTATATGAACATATGTATGCTGTACTGTCCTCAATCAACATATTTATGTACACAAATATGCACCTCCAAAATAGCAAAACTGCCGTCGGCAATTTGCTTTTCAAAAATTTTTGTACTTTGAAATATATAATTTTTTTTAAATATTGATATTGTAATATATATGATATTGTAAATACATGTACATATGTAGATATGTATCTTAATAATAGATTCAAAACAAAGATATCAAAAATGTATGCTTCTTCTTGGTGTACGAGTAAACGTTCGAAAGAATATCAGAAAACTTATAACAATGAGAAGATGCAAATCCGTTGCGATAAATGATGTTTTGTAATTTTTGTTTTGACTATACTATGCTTTTTTTTATTAATATGAAAAATATGGATTAAAAAAAATTAAATTATTTGAAATAAATGATATCGGCTGCCTCGAAAGGAATTTGAACTTGCGCCTGAGCAAAAATACCAAAATGTGTGCATCCCCTGAACAATACAGACCGTGCCACACAACCATATTGTTGCGAAAATGCGAGGCGAATGTCAGATGAAAGAGGGAAGCCGATAACTAGTACATTCTAGAAACGATAAAACAAGAACCTTCGATAGCTAACAACTCGATGCTTCTACGCTTTCGTCTGCGAGCAGCCGACTGCTATATAAGGGGACACTCAGCTGCCAAGTTAAGTTAGTTACAAAGTGAACTGGTTGGCGTTAACATCAGTAAAGTCGTAAAGTAAACGTGTTGGATATTACATTTAAGTAAGGTAAATTGTGCAAGTTGATACTTGTGATTGTAAATAGNCGCAGCTGGGTTGCTCCAAATCCTTCTGATCAGGGCTGGTGTAGAAACCAACCCTGGACCGACGGATTACTTCTGCTGCGTGTGTCAAAGAGTACTCCACCACTCATCCACCTCGGTTAGATGCACCCAGTGCAATGGTTGGAGTCATCTTTAGACCTGCTCAGGCCTTAAGACCCACAGGGAATGGACCACGAGTTATGTGGCCCCATGCTGCCAGCGTCCAACCGCCCCCCAGCCTCCACGGCAGTGCCTTCAGAACACATACCCACTCTGGGTAATCTGCAGACCTCCACGGTCTTACGGAGCTCCCCGCAGCATGATGCCCTCCAACCTCCACCCCCATCCCCTCCCACAACCAGCTCCTCATCCTCGTCCCGTGCGAGGGCTACCCAGCAGCTCCTAGTCCCCCGCACCGTCTGTTCCGTGTGTCAGACCATAGTGCGTCGGAACGTGACCTCAGTCAGATGCAACTTCTGCTCTGGCTGGTGTCACTTTCGGACGTGCTCTGGCCTGCGCACCACCCGTGAGTGGAGCGATGCGTACGTTGCCCCATGCTGTAGGAGTCTGCCCCCGCATGTCTCTACAAACCCTCCGCCAATCAACACCAATGTGCGGAACCAACTCTCGCGGGTAGTACAGCAGCAAAACACACCATCCACGCATCACTCCCTCACCCCCCGAATAACGAATGTTCCCCCGAGACAGACCCGACTTCTACAATTCAACTGCAACGGACTCCAGGGAAAGATTGACGAGATAGTCGACTACATGAGCCGGGAGCACCTGCCAATCACGATCTTTGGCATTCTAGCCTGTCAAATGACCGTAGAGGAATGGAGCTGGCGGAACAGATAGACGATTCGACATTCTGCACAATGAACGACAACACCCCCACCAGAGTTATGGGTAATTGCCAAAGCTCGCCAGACATAACAATTGCGAGTGCTGGTCTGATAAACAGTATAGTCTGGCGACCTATACTGACGTTAGCATCGGACCACTTGCCCATACATATCTCGATTGACAGGCCTCTCGACTTTGTTTCCGCGGACCACCGGACATTCGTTAACTTTAAAAAAGCTAAATGGCCCGGATTCACGGAATTTACCGAGAACGCCTTTAGTGCTCTTCCCACTCCAACTGACGTCACCGCTGGTGAACGCTCATTCCGCAGGGTCGTCGTGACCGCTGCCGCCCGCTTCATCCCGGCAGGCCGAATCGTGGAAATCCGCCCAAATTTTCCGACAGAAGCGGCGGTACTAGCAACCAGGCGCGACACCCTCCGAAGCTCCGATCCCGGGAATCCCCTAATCAGGGATTTAAACGCGGAGATTCGAAGAGTTGTTAACAGTCATAAGCGGAAAAAGTGGGAGGAGCACCTAAGGACCTGCAACCTCTCCTCTGGGGCAACCAAGCTCTGGGCCACAGTCAAATCGCTGTCTAACCCGACGAGACGCGATGACCGGGTGGAAATTTCATTCGGTGATCGCGCCTCGTCGGACCCGAAGATATGCGCGAGCTATTTTAGCCGTGTTTTTAC